TTGCTGATTGTTTTGTGGTGAAGGATCTTCGCACGGGGGCGCCGCTGCTGACAGGAGCAAATAATGGGGATGTCTATGAGCTGCCCAGTGATGTGAACGCTATTCGTCTTGCCCTTGTCACCACCCGCACTTCCTCTACATCGTGGCATGCTCGTCTCGGTCACCCCTCCACTCAATCTCTCACCAGTCTCCTTCGCACTCATTCATTGCCAGTATCTTCCTCACTCGTCAGTAGTCATTGTCCTTCATGTCTGTCGAATAAAAGTCACAAACTCCCTTTTGCTGTTTCTTCTCTATCGAGCACTAGACCTTTTGATTTGCTGTATGCGGATGTTTGGGGGCCCGCTCCGGTCACCTCCATTGATGGTTTTCGTTATTATTTAATCATTATTGATCATTTTTCCCGATACACGTGGTACTATCCCCTCAAACGTAAATCTGATGTTCTTGATGTGTTTATTGCTTTTCGCAAGATGATAGAAAATTACTTCTCCACTACAATTCGTCGTCTTTATTCGGATGGTGGTGGTGAATTTCAGAAATTGTGCTCCACTCTGGCCACTCATGGTATCAGTCACCTTCTCACACCACCCCATACCCCTGAGCATAATGGGCTCGCAGAACGTAAACATCGTCATCTTGTCGAAACGGGTATCACTCTGTTACATCATGCTAACTTACCCACCATTTTTTGGTCCTATGCCTTCTCCACTGCCATATACTTGATTAATCGTATGCCTTCCTCTGCATTACGTGGTCAAATTCCATTCACTACTCTGTTTAACATTCCTCCCAATTATCACAAACTTCGCATATTTGGTTGTCTGTGCTATCCTTGGCTCCGTCCCTACTCCTCCCATAAATTGGATCCTCGTTCTAGACCCTGCTTGTTTGTTGGGTACTGCCCTCAGCGCAGTGCCTATAGGTGCTTCGATCCTCACACTCAGCGCCTTTTTTTATCTCGCCATGTCCGCTTTGTTGAGACCTCGTTCCCTGGGTATCTTTCTAACCCTCCTGCAGGTGTCTCTTTGGTCGACTCTTGGGTCAGTGACAGTGGGCCAACCATCACATCTATTCCCTTGCAGACTGCTTCTCATTTGCCATCCCCTGGTGCTCCTGCCTCAGCTGCCCCGGTCGCCCCCTGCGCAGCACCCTCACCCCCGACATCAGCAGTGGGCCGAGATGCGGCCTCCCCTGGGCCCGTGTCCTCATCATTCCGCTCTGGGCCCCTGCCCTCAGCCCTTCCGGGCTCCTCCACCTCCTCTGGGCCGCTTGCATCCGCTGGCCCATCCGCTCCCACTGGGCCGCCCCAGTCCGCCCAGCCCTCTCCTGACTCGCCCGCTTCCACTGGGCCGCCCCAGTCCGCCCAGCCATCTCCTGGCCCGCCAGCTCCCGCTGGGCCACCCCAGTCCGCCATGCCATCTCCTGGCTCTCCCCCAGCTAATGTTCCCAGGCCTGCTGCCCCGCCTCCTCTGGTTCGCACGCACCGGATGACCACCCGCGCACAAGATGGGATTTACAGGCCCAAGCGCCTTTTCCCTGCCAATTTGACGACCCGTGCTCCCCCCCTTGAGCCTCGGTCAGTCAAGGAGGCAATGCAATACTCTGAATGGGACGATGCGCTCCGCCTTGAACATTCTGCTCTTCTCCGCAACCACACGTGGGATCTTGTTCCTCGCCAACCACACTTCAATGTACTTGGCAACAAATGGGTCTATCGCATCAAACATCATTCTGATGGCTCCATCAATCTCTTCAAGTGTCGTCTTGTTGCTAAAGGTTTCCACCAACGCCCTGGAGTGGATTTTCATGACACTTTCAGCCCAGTGGTCAAACCTGTCACGGTCCGCACTGTCTTCACCATTGCTCTCTCCCAGAATTGGGCCATTAAGCAGTTTGACGTCAACAATGCCTTTTTACAAGGGCCCCTTGACGATGAGGTATACATGGTACAACCGCCGGGCTTTGTTGATCCCCAATATCCTAATCATGTTTGTCGCCTGCGCCGAGCTATTTATGGTCTTCGTCAGGCACCAAGGGCCTGGTATACCGCTCTCAGCTCTTTCCTCCTGGATTTCGGCTTCCTCAAGACTCAGTCTGATGCATCTCTGTTTGTTTATCAACGTTCCGGAGTTATCCTCTACTTCCTGGTATATGTTGATGATCTTCTGCTCACCGGTAATGATGCGCCCACTCTCACTGCCTTCCAACAAGCTCTGGCCCAACAGTTCTCCCTCAAGGAGCTTGGTGACGTCAACTACTTTCTGGGTATCGAGGTCATTCCCACACCGACTGGGTACGTCCTATCTCAGCACAAGTATATGACTGACATTCTTACTCGCTTTCATATGTTGGATGCGGCCTCCATGCCTACCCCATTGGCATCGACGGTCACTCTCTCCCTTCGCGATGATACAACTCCAACGGATGCGACTAGATATCGGCAGGTACTCGGTGCGCTTCAATATCTCGTCTATACACGCCCTGACATTGCCTACGCGGTCAACAAACTCTCTCAATACATGCATACTCCATCCTCTCATCACTGGCAATGTCTCAAGCGCATTCTCCGCTATGTGTGTGGCACTATATCATATGGCCTCGAAATTCGGCGCTCCTCCCTTCCACTACAGGTCACGGCCTTTGCTGATTCTGACTGGGCAGGCAATGTCGACGATCGTACTTCTACATCTGCTTATCTGGTTTATTTGGGGTCCACCCTCATCTCCTGGCGCTCTCAAAAGCAACGTACTGTTGCTCGCTCCAGCACTGAGGCTGAATATCGTGCCATTGCCCATGCCGCTGCTGAGTTGGAGTGGGTCCAAAATCTTCTACACGAGCTTCATCAATCACTCCCTATGCCGCCGACTCTCCTCTCTGACAACCTGGGTGCCACATGTTTCAGTGCAAATCCAGTCTTCCACTCTCGCATGAAGCATTTAGCTCTCGACTTTCACTTTGTCCGCCAGCTTGTTCAAGATGGCCGCCTTCATGTTCGCTACATTCCCACTGCGCAACAGCTCGCTGATATGCTCACCAAGCCATTACCGGCTGCTCGCTTCCTGCTTCTGAGGTCCAAGATTGGAGTCGTTGACACCTCCTCCATCTTGCGGGGGCGTATTAGAGAAAAAGAATAACAATTCTTTTTCCTTTTTTCTGTTCCTATTCTTTAGCCCTCTCCTCCTGTACAATCTCTCCACTCTGTACACTACCCTTAGTTCTCTCAACAAACTCCCCTGTAACAGTGTATAAAACAAAACTGAATACAATGAAGCAAATCACGTCTGTTTGCATCAAGATCTTTTCTCTCCAAAATTCTCTCCTTCCTAACAGGCGGCGTTCCCTGATGGCCGTCTTGCTGAATGGAACAGGGTTCTCGCTAGTTCGAAGAAGACTGACGAGATGCAAGCGAGAAGAGGGAGGGATTGCAGATATGGTGGTGGACGAAGAACCTATGCTTTCTGTTTTAGTTTACATGTTCTGGAATGAGAAACTGTGTTACATAATTACATTTGGCGATGTTCATGGTTATTCGCTCTTGTTAAGTTGCCAAACAGATTTGTTATGAAAGTATGAACCTTTTTTAGGTCTGTTTTAGCCAAGAATTGCAATGAATGGAAATGCATGAACAGGTCTGAAGGAAAACCAGGATTCTATTTAAACAGCATTGAGCCCAAATGTAAGAATTATGCCTCAGTTTTGCTCTACACTAGTCGTATAGTTTTGTGCTTAATCATCAATTGAGCAATGTAAGGCCTCTTTGTCACTGGTGAATGTGATCCGGGTTGTTCCCCACTCGACGATGAAGCTTATCCCCCTTCGTCTAACTGGCTGACCTTGCAGTCTTAGACAATCTAGAGCAACACAACAGTGGATCATCCATAGGCCAAAATCTGAGTGCGCTTCAGGATTGGTATGACAGTCGCGACAAGTTGCTGCAATTGACCCAACAAGCCTTGATTCATGACTAGGAATCCTCCAATGAGCTACTGGATGGATCTCTGAAGCTCAAAATTATGCAGTAGGGCCAAGGATGGATTGTCACAGATGAAGGACATCTGTTGCTGAGCTTCAAGCCACTCTTGAAAGAAGAAAAGGTGCATGTTTGGAAACAGAAACCAGAAGGTAACTGAACTCAAGGAAGCTTGTGAAGAAAGCAATCCAGAGGTCTAGAAGGGCAGTATTGAAAGCAGATAACTCTCTACCTCACATCAAATGATCCAGACATCGTCACGATGTTGAGAGAAGGTGAATTCGCCAGTGTTGGCATTCATTTCTGGATCAAGCACTGCTGGCAGAAAAGGGTTGCAGCAGTATCTGAAGCTGAATTTGGTTGTGCCTCCTTGAAGATTAGTGAGGAGTTCCAGGTTCATTTGAAGTAGCAGCCATGCATTGAATATCTTCAGGAAGGTATTGAATCCTAGTTTAGACAGATGATACAAATGAGAGCTGCAATTCTGAACCTTTACAGTATGAGAAGAGAACAATACTTCTAGATCACTATAGACATCCAAACACTCATCTGTACTCCTGTACCCAGTAGCCACTAGCCAGTACATAAATTACATAAAGAAAATTTACATCCCTGCCTTGTGCTACTCAGTTTATTGCTTTCCTCCCAAGACTTCAGATCTCCATCGCACCTGTGAAAGCAACTTCACTTTCCATATAGCAGCTCGATCTCTTACAGCCTAATGAACCCCAGAACTGCAGAGGAAGCTAAACTAATCTCATATGGATCCTGTCTCCCATTTGTTTTTCCTGTATTATAATCAAAACTACATGTTCATTGGGGTTTGTTAACCCCCTCGTGTGATGTAATACAATAATGGATCTGCAATTCACAACAGTCATAAACGATGAGATTCCTTCTGCCTCCCCCACGTCTCCTCCATAATAAACTACTATCAGTCTGTATTTTCCTTTTTATATTGCATGTATGTAAAATAGAGCCACGTACATGTAAATGCAAAGGCTACAATAAAGAAATGGCCGGTTTGTCTTGTTCTGCAGCAGTCCCCAATGTGGCAGCTTATTAGAGATGCCTTGTGCCCTATACTGCTGACACAGCGAACAAGAAGCTCTGCTAACAATAGAAGAGAGATGGGCAATGAACATTTTAAATGGGAGAACCGAAAAGTATGGATCTTTGCCACACCATGACTCATCCACTGCTTCAGAGCTCCATCCCTCAATCAATGAGTTGGGTGACTTGGTAGGCAAGGGACACTGCAAAGACACAATGCCGGTAAGTATGGCAGATCCATATTTGAAACCATAAGCTGAATAATATCACATATGCACATGAAAAGATAATGGCTTTGATTCCTGTTGTCTCTTTGGTGTCCCTTGGCCTGCCTCATTTCTCTCACATCTATATAAACAAACTCTGGATGCCAAGGAAAGGCATTGCAAATCATCTCTCTCAACCTTCTCTTCAACTTCAAAACCCTTCCCCACATCATCTCAATTTCACCAAAAAAAATGGCAGCAGCTTCTTTCCATGCTCGCTCCAACAGTTTGCCTGCTAGATCACACCCACTGATCTCAGAAATCGATGAGCAAATTTGCAGGTTGAGACAATCTCAAGCTGCTTCCACATCGTCGTCATCATCCATAGGCCACAACTTGAATAGCCTTCAGGTTGTGTATGATTGTGTTGACCAGTTGTTCCAACTGTCATCAACTCAACAAGCCTTGATCAATGACCAGAAATGCTTCAACGAGCTGCTAGACGGATCCCTCAGGCTCTTGGATTTGTGCAACACTGCCAAGGATGCCTTGTCCCAGATGAAAGAGTCCGTGGCTGAACTGCAATCCGCTATTCGCAGAAGGCAAGGTGGTATGGAGGGAGAAACCAGAAGATACCTGAAATCACGGAAGACTGTGATCAAAGCAATCCAAAAGGTCTTGAAGGGTATGGAAAACAAGAAATCAACGTCATCAAACAACGTCGAGACACTATCCATGTTGAAGGAAGCTGAATCTGCTGTTGTTAAGGTTTTGGAGTGCTTGCTGGCATTCATTTCTCAAACAAGCTCAAAGCCAAGCAGCTGGTCATTGTTTAAAAGGGTTGCATCAGCTTCAAGTGAAAACGAATTTGCAGATGTGGATGCCTCTCTAAAGACAAACAAATCTAATGAGGAGGTCCAACTTCACTTGAAGAACTTGCAGCCATGCATTCAAGATCTTGAGGAAGGAGTTGAGAGCCTGTTCAGGCGTTTGATCAAAACAAGAGCCTCCATTCTCACTATCCACAATCTGTAACTATTACATCATCAAAAGAATACTTGTACAAGTTTTATATAAAATTTTGATACTCTATCCATAAATATACACGGTCTCCAAGTTCCTGCTACATTAAAGTCTCATGCTGTTCATTGTTCTATCTTTTAGCCTGCACTTTTCTTTCCGTCCATTTTAATTACCTTTTACACACAAGAAACAAATCGCAGTGAACAAAAAGATCATTTCAGATAAGTTAGCTGAATAAGAGCATGACTCACAATCACATGGAAGACTGACAAAGGAAATAATGAACCATATTAGGCGGATCTTGCCTTCCATTGATACAGCAGTAGCAGCTTGGTATGAGTAATTAATCATACACACTAGTCTAAAACTTATAGTCAAAGGAGACACAAGGAATCGAATTTTACAATCTATATATCAACGAATGAAATGGAAATATGGCTATGATTTCGATCTGGTAAACAACCATCCCAGCAATGTCTATGCAATGTTCTATTGCTTACCAGCACTGTCCAGCTCATTACCTATTCATCCTTCATCCTCTACTAAGTCAGATTTAATGCAGGGAGTGGGTTGCTTGGCCTGATTTCCAACTATCTCTGATATCATTTGAATCAGTACAAACCATAATCTACTGCCACTGGATTTGGCTTTCACCATTTCTACTTGTCCTTTAGTTAAGCTGTTTCTTGTGAGACAACAAACAATGGTTTTAAACTGGGAAAGAGCTGGAGACATTCAAGAACTGCAAACATACAAGAACTGGAGATAGCTGCCAAGAATCTTCTTGTCTTGCTCCCAAAAAGCCATAGTTTTTTCTTATATATATAGGGGCGACGAGAATTTATTAATGAAGAAAAAGCGAGTGTACAATCAACAAGCTAAGCCTGGGATCAAACCTTGAGCCTCGCCGGTCCCAAATGGCTCTTCTCCCAGCTCACAGAGTCAACCGAGCTCACCCCCTTGGTTCATCCATCGAAAGCCCGGAGCTTTTTCACCGCCCTGCTTTCCCTCCTCTGCACAGGGAATATCCCTTCCAGGCTAAGGCTTTCGACATCGATGATTTGGCCGAAGAAGGCCGACTCCCTCGCTTTCGCTTGATCAAGAAGCCCCCTTTGATAAGCCGGGAAGGGGATTTCAGCAGTTGCAACAGACGACGACGAATCCCCATTTTGGAACTACTCATTGTTGCTGCTGTTGGGCACTCTGTTTATGCTTTCTTTGCTGTGTGTTACATTACATGAACCAGCTCTCTGTTTATAGAGGCTTTCAAACCGCCATTAGGATTTAGGAAAGGCTCGAGTGGGCATTGATTTCAGTCGGTTGTACCGACTTCGTCCTGCGGCTGCAAATTGGAGCCTAGTCACAGACTTTGCCGACTAAAAAGAAATTCTCCATGTCGGTAGCTTATTGGCGGACAGCAACCACGTTAGCAGATCATATATCGTTTCGTTTCGCGTTTCTTTTCGACGTTTCGTGTTTCCTTCTCCTGCGCAGGCAAAATGTCGAATGCAGAAGTCGATACCATTTGGAAGTAAAGAAGACCACTTTGCGAACTCCTTCAGATGAATCGAATTATCAGAGATTTGCTTCAACTATATCGTCTTCTGATACTGCTGTAAGTAAGCATCTTCTGCTCTTGAAAGAGCATTTGTACTCACTTGCCCCACTTCCTCGTGGTTCTTTTTCCAGCCTAGAAACTAGCTAGCAATGGCTTTTCCACAGAAGTTGGAAGAGAGCCCTGATTGCAGGTCACGAAGGAAAACATTCCTTTCATCTGGGGGATCAAAGAAACCGAAATGGTGATAGGAAATAGTCGCTGCTCTGGGAACTTGGAAGAGAAAGTTGCAGACTTTTGGTGGTTGTCTTTGCATATATGTCAACGACTGAAGATGGGAATTTGATTTTGATTTAGATCTAACCAGCCAGCTAACCATGTCAGCGATGCCTGTGCATTGTCTGTTCCCTGCCACTACTCTCCAACTCTCATGGTTACTGAGTCAGATTTCAGCGTCTTGTCTCCTTTGGAAGGCGATGCACGGGTGAGCTGTTTGAAATTAGTTTCAAGGCACTAGAAATATTGTATAGTCTCGGTTATTAAATGATGCAGAAGGAGAAGCAGAATGCATGGATCTTGCCTACATCGATGATGGAGGCCAATGAGTTGGATTACTTGGTAGGCAAGGGACATTTCATAGACACAATGCTGATAATGTGGAGGATTGATTTGTGTTTTCACATGGGAGAAACAAGATGCTTTGATTCCTCTTGTCTCTCTGTTGTTTCTTCCTTCACCTGCCTCTTTGCTCTCATCTTTCTATATAAACTTGCCATAGGTGCCAAAGAAGGCATTGCAAATCATCTCCAGCTACATCTCTCTTAGTCTTCCATTCTTTCTCTCATATTCCACCAAGACAACCAAAAAATGGCAGCTATTTCTTTCCATGCTCGCTCCAATAGTTTGCCTACAGGATCACACCCTCTGGTCTCGGAAATCGAAGAGCAGGTTTGCAGGTTGAGACAATCTCAAGCTGCTTCCACATCCTCATCATCCATAGGCCGCAACCTTAATAGCCTTCAGGTTGTGTATGATTGTGTTGACCAGTTGTTCCAACTGCCAACAACCCAACAAGCCTTGATCAATGACCAGAAGTGCTTCAATGAGCTATTGGATGGATCCTTGAGGCTCTTGGACTTGTGCAACACTGCCAAGGATGCCTTGTCAGCGATGAAAGAGTCTGTGGTTGAACTTCAATCCGCTATTCGCAGAAGGCAAGGTGGTTTGGAAGGAGAAACCAGAAGGTACCTGAAATCTAAGAAGACTGCGATCAAAGCAATCCAGAAGGTCTTAAAGGGCATGGAAAACAATAAGTCCACCTCATCCAACAACGTTGAGACAGTATCTATGTTGAAGGAAGCTGAATCTTCTGTTGCTGAGGTTTTGGAGTGCTTGTTGTCCTTCATTTCTCAAACAAGCTCAAAGCCAAGCAGCTGGTCATTCTTTAAAAGGGTTGCAGCAGCAGAAGCTTCAAGCGAGAATGAATTTGCAGAGGTGGATGCATCTTTGAAGATTAACAAATCCAGTGAGGAGATTCAACTTCATCTCAAGAATCTGCAGCCATGCATTCAAGATCTTGAGGAAGGAGTTGAGAACCTCTTCAGGCGTTTGATCAAAACAAGAGTCTCCATTCTCAATATCCACAATCTGTAGTTACATCATCAGAACAATACTTGTACAAGTTGTATAGAAAATTTTGACACTCGAATCCATAAATATACATGGTATCCAAGCTCCTGCAAACTGCGTCTTTCTGTTCGTTCCTCTATCTATTACCCTGCATGTTTCTTACATTTCCATTTTAATTACCTTTTGCCTACAATAGAAAAATGACAGTGAAAACAAGGATAATTTCAGATTGCTAAGGTAAACAAGAGGTGATGGAAACTAAGAGGAATCATGTCACATGGAAGACTGACTAATCCAGATTAATTATTGCAGAAATGAGTAATTACCACACGTCCAAATGCAATAATGAAACCACGTTGATAAACCACATTAGATGGATCTTGCCTTCCATTTGTACAGCAATCATGTTAATCAATGCAACTTGACATCATTTCTTAATCATATAACATTAGGCTAATCTGTATGAGAGGAGACGTAAGGAATCAAAAGTTTTCATATATCAATGAATGAGATGGCTATGTGGCTATTATTTCAACCAAAGAAAACAACCCATCTCAACAACATCTATGCAATGTTCCTTGATTAGGCCACTTTCATTAACCAACTCCCTTGGAGATGGCATAGATTAATTCAGATGTAATGCAGGAGTGGGCTGTTTGGGGTGATTTTGGACGAACTGTGATATCATTTAAACCAGAACAACCATAATCTACTATCATTGTGATTCACTTTCACCATTTCTACTTATCCTTGGAGGTAAGCAATGATTTTAAACCAGGAAGCTAAAGTTCCTTCAGTTACAACAATACACCCTTTTGAGTTCATGCTGCAGAGCACAATTAAATTGCTAACCCCCTCAAGAGGTGTAATATAATATTGGATCTGCAATCCACAACAATCATTAATGGTGAGATTCCTTCAATTTGAGTTATCCAGATGAATTGGTTCTGGATGAGTACAAAGTGAAAATGATTATATTCCTAGTTTGGTGCCAAAACCATATTTACAACTTTATTAAATGGATGGAGAAGCCAAGGATGAATATTAATGTAGAGCTAGATAAAACAACCATATATCCAGCTCATTCCCTCAGGGCTCAGGTTTAGTTTAATCTTTCATGGATCTTCAATGCACGAGTGGATTTGGATCTAACAAACTGTATATCTTCTCAGCAGTATTTAATGCAGTGTCTCTTGCCAACCTAGCAGGCCAACTCATTTTGCCAACTTAGTTTAATCCTCTTGCACGAGTGGGTTGTGTTTGGAATGATATGAAAATATCAAATATGGATCAAACAGAAATGGGGTTTGGCGATTAGGATCTTTTCTAATCTAACTGACCATCTCAATTATATTCTATTTTCTAATCCAATCAAGACCATTGACTTTGCAGCAGCATGTCCTATAAAGTAGTCACAGCATGACCTTGTTAATCTTTCTATGGAGGTAATTTCATCAAATTCCTTTGGTTTTCCCCATCTAACTGTGAACCATCACATGGAAAATGGCCTAAGGTTCCTTACATGGCTGCTTCCCTACAGAAAGACATGGAATTGGCCTATGGTATTCAACTTCCTAATTTCAATCTGTAATTATATCATTATCATCAAAGCCACACTTGAATATTAAGCAGTTGTAAAGATAATTTTGATAACTATAATACATAATAAGTCTACATGATCTTTGTAAATTAATGTCTCACTCTCAGTATATTGCTCTATCATCTTCTACCACAGTGCATACAATTTCCGGCCTGTTCATTTCAGTTGCCTTTTGCTGTTTTGCATAGAGGAGAAAAATGACAGTGGAAAACAGGTTCTGGGATTCTTACAGATGGTTGAACTGGATTGACAAATAGTTTATTCCTAATCTTCATTCAGTATGGGTAAATTGCACAAAGTTTTTGCAGCGTTTTAACGGAACTAAGAAAATTACCTGTCTTTGGATTGGGCCAACTGTTACCCAATGTAATGTGCGGGCCTATAGCCCACCATACGAGTTCCAAGTTCCAACCTCCAATTACATTTCTCAAGTTCTCGACTCATAGTAGCTCGACATTCTTCCTTTACATTACATGCTTGTTTGTTTCTCTCAGTTCGTGGGTGGTGGGTGGCAACTGGCAAGAATCAAACCTTCATTCATGCAAACAGAAAACAGGTGACCTCAGTCAGCCAAAAGCTCCCTCCCTTCCCATAGGTTATTTGGTGGTAATGATTTTGCTTCCCACTCCTCTCGTTTGTCAGACAGCAGCCTTGTTTTCTTCTACTAGGTCAACCTCGAATAAGTTCCTTCTTCACCCTTAGAATTTGGAGCTTTTGCAGGGTGTTTAGGGATTGAATCTAATCTTTGCTTACCCTTTTGAGAAAGTTCACTGCTTTTTGTAGGATCATGAATGGGAGGAGAGATGAGAATGGTGGAAATTTTTTGGAAGCCTTTTTTTGCTGTTCTTTTTCAGTAGGTTGTGAATTGGGAGATTTATGATTTTAGTTGTGAATTTCTTAGGAATTTATGATTTTCATTCTCATAGAATCGAGCTAAGATTGATATGGATGGTTCAAGCATAGGTGGTAGGTTTATGTTAGGATCAATTGGCGGGAGCTTGGACCTAGAAGCTCCTCCGATGCATCGAAACCAACATAGCCAGATGGGTAATCCCTCAGTAGTACCATCCCATCATCACCACCACCACAACCAGATGAACTCAACTGGTGGGATTGATTACAATAGGCAGCCGATGGGGCTGATGGAGTCGATAGGTCTGGCACCAAAGGGGCGTCCGACTAGTTATGGGAAAGCAAATGACGATGATCTTAGTGAAGAAGATGATCCAAGCTTGATGGAAGATGGCCAGGTATCCCACGGTTCGAAGGGTACAAAGGTATCTCCATGGCACCGGATGAAATGGACGGATAATGTGGTGAGGCTTCTAATTGCTGTTGTTGCTTATGTGGACGATGATGGTACAGAAGCTGGTGAGAGCCACAAGAGGAAATCTGGGGTTCTGCAGAAGAAGGGCAAGTGGAAGACTGTTTCCAAGGTCATGATCGGCAAAGGCTGCCACGTTTCGCCCCAGCAATGTGAGGATAAGTTCAATGATTTGAACAAGAGGTACAAGAAGTTGAATGATATTCTTGGTAGGGGAACAAGTTGCCAAGTGGTGGAGAACCCTGGCTTGATGGAATCGATGCCTCATCTTTCGTCCAAGGCCAAGGATGAAGTTAAGAAGATACTGAGCTCGAAACACTTGTTCTACCAGGAGATTTGTGCTTACCATAATGGACAAAAAATCCCCAACTGCCCTGATGTTGATCTCCAAGGCTGCTCATTACCCATGAAGGGACACTGGAGAGAGAATGATGGTTCTGAGGAGGATGAGGAAAATGATGATAGCGAAGATGATGGCTCCGAGAATGAAGATGAAAATGTCGATATGAATGCTGAGACGACTAGAAGAAATGAAGAAGGAAATAGCTATGAGGTCGAAATGGCTGCATTGTTTCGAGACCCGAATGTGACATCTGGGGAGAGGAAGCTGTGGGTCAAGAACCAGATGCTTCACCTACAGGAGCAACGAGTCAGCATTGCGGCTCAATCCCTTCAGCTCGAGAAGCAACGCCTCAAGTGGTTGAAATACAGAAGTAAGAAAGACATGGAGTTCGAGAGATTGAAGATTGAGAATGAGAGACTGAGGCTAGAAAATGAGCAAAGCATGGCACGGATGAAGCTGAAGCAGCTGGAAGTTGATCTTGGACATTCTGATGCATCAGTAGATCCAGTTACTCTTGGAACTCAACGACCACAAGGAAAAGAGTCGATTGATCTGAGTAGGCCACACTGTAGAATGGCTGACGCTTGACTTCTGGTATCTTGTATCATCATCTGCAAAAAAACTTGTAAAGTTTATTGTTTTGGATCCTTGTTGTTCTTACATTGTACTATGAATCAGTTATCTACTTCCATATATTTCTTGCTTCCTATACTGTTTTTCATGCCTCACTTGGTGGCTTTTGGTTATTGAAGTTAGTTGTTATTCTAATGAAATGTCATAAAGTTCAGTAACAGCACAACCATAAACATTGTAAAGCTCCCAAGATCTGTATCTGTATCTGTATCTGGACATGGTAGACAAGGGATACCTATGCTTTGATTCCTTGTGTCTCTCGGTAACTTGGCCAGCATCATCTCTCCTCCATCTATCTATACTAACCTGCAACAGGTTCCAAAGAATGCATTGCAGATCATCTCCATTCATCTATTCTACTAACAAAAACTTCCCAGATCTTGTATTCATCACTGAAACCCCACAAAATGGCAGCTCTTTCTTTCAATGCTAGGTCCAACAGTTTGCCTTCAATATCACACCCTCTAGTTTCAGAATTTCTTGACGAGGAAGTTTGCAGGTTGAGACAATCCCAAGATGCTTCCACATCATCATCCATAAGCTGCAATCTGAATAGGCTTCAGGATCTGTATGATTATGTTGACCAGTTGCTAGAACTGCCAACAACCCAACAAGCCTAGATCACTCACAAAAAATGCTTTAATGAGCTACAAGATGGATCTTTGAAGCTCTTGGATTTGTGCAAAACTGCCAAGGATGTCTTGTCACATATGAAAGATTTTGTGGCCGAACTTCAGTTTGCTATTTGTAGAAGACAGGATGGTTTGAAAGGAGAAACCAGAAGCTACATCAAGTCCAGGAATACTGTAATCTGCTGTTGTGGAGGTGTCTGAGTGCTTGTAGACATTCATTTCTTCTCAGTCAACCTCCACACCAAGCAGCTGATAAATTTTTTCCAAGCTGGAAACGGTTGCAAGTGAGAATGAATTCTCAGAGGTGGGTGCCTCTTTGAAGAGGAACAAGTCTAATGACGAGGTCCAAGCTCATCCGAAGAACTTGCAGCCATGCATTCAAGCTCTTGAAGCAACAGCGAAAATAGTTTCTGCGATCATTACAGATAATCAGGCTAGTAATATCTAGCTGGATAGCCTTCTATTTCATGACAGAGTTATGATTAAGAACACACAAGCCGAAATCAAAGGCCAGCACACGGTAAGTTGATTCAAGAAAACAATGAATGTCAGAGAAATCAGTGAACAGAAGTTCAGCGGACCTTCCACCTCCATTAGTGCAGCAACCATGCAGAACATAGAGCAGGCTTCAAGCCGTGCTGATTAAGAGATTGAAATAATATCTAATCCTGTAAAGTAGTCAGTCCCCAGCCTTTTCTATCATCCAACTTCTTACCACATCTTTTAAACTAATTTTGAAGAAAGCAGACGGCTTGGAATAAAAAGGAAGCTCTTGCGTTCTGTCGTAAGCATACCTTTCTCGGCCTTTTGGCTAAGATCAAGTGTAGTATCTGTTCTTATCAGTTTAATATCTGATACGTGGGCCAATGGCCCACACGATATTAAATTAATTTTTATAGGGGGAGAAAGCCCACTACTGAAGCTTGCTTCAGGGGCCTTCTCGCGTGTCGCCTGAGCGTTGCAGTATTGCTTGGGCCTGGCGCACCCCACCAATTATAGTCCAGTTTCTTTATTTCATCTGAATTGGGCCTGTTGCTTATTTTGTACTGATTCTACTTGCATACTTTCGTGTCTTTCCCAGCTCGTAGAAACAAGCAATTAACTTCATCATCAACTGCTTGTTTCTGGCGTGTAGATCAAACGAGAACGATGATCCTTCTGCATATATTCCTTCATGGCCTGATGCAGTAGACCCTTTTTTGCTGCCTTCATTGGAGTAAAGGAAGTTGCATGGCATCTCATTGACTATATATGGCAGATGGCAAAGGAGACACAAGGAATCTCATTGTCATCAATATAAATCTCAATGAATGAATATGATGGGAAAGTAAGTGTGTGATCTGGATCTGAACAACCATCTCAGCAGTGTCTGTGCAGTGTCTCCTGGCAACCACAGCTCTCCCAGCTCATGCGGTCGAGTAAGTTTTCAGCGCCTGTCTCCTTTGAGAAAACATTGGTTGATGCACGAGTGTTCTGTTTGACATTATTGTGCCAGGAACTAGAAGTATGACAATGTCCATTATTAAGTGATGAAGCAGAATGCATGGATCTTGCCTTCCTTCATGACTCAATGCTGCAATTCAGAGCTATCAGCTATGCCTTAACCATCCATGGTCTCTTTATCCAATGAATTAATTAGTGAGGCCAATGAGTTGGATTACTTGGTAGGCAAGGGACATTTCACAAACAATATTCCTGATAATATGGTAGATCCAAACCACAAATTATATGTGCATAAACCACATGTTCACATTGAAATTTGAAGTGCTTTGATTACTCCTGTCTCTTTGTGTCCCCTCGCCTGCCTCATTTCTCCACCATCTATATAAACAAGCTCTGGATGCCAAGGAAGGCATAGCAAAACACCTCTCCCAACTCTTCCTTTGAACTTCAGAATCCTTCCTCACATCTTTAATTCTCATATCCACCAAGAAAACCAGAAAAAATGGCAGCTCTCTCTTTCCATGCTAGGTCCAACAGTTTGCCTACAAGATCACACCCTCTAGTTACAGAAATCGAAGAGCAGGTCTGCAGGTTGAGACAATCTCAAGCTGCTTCCACATCATCATCATCCATAAGCCGAAATCTAAATGGTCTCCGGGATGTGTATGACTGTGTTTACCAGTTGCTCCAACTTCCAACAACCCAACAAGCCTTGATCCATGACCAAACTTGCTTCAACGAGCTATTGGATGGATCTTTGAGGGTCTTGGATTTATGCAACACAGCCAAGGATGCCTTGTCCCAAATGAAAGAGTCAGTCTCTGAGCTTCAATCCGCTATTCGCAGAAGGCAAGATGGTTTGGAAGGAGAAACGAGAAGATACCTAAAGTCAAGGAAGAATGTTATCAAAGCAATCCAAAAGGTCTTGAAGGGTATGATGGTTACCAAGAAATCTACTTCATCAAATAACATTGAGTCCATCTCCATGTTGAAGGAAGCTGAATCTGCTGTTGTCGAGGTTCTGGAGTGCTTGCTCTCATTCATTTCTCAAACTAGCTCCATGCCAAGCAGCTGGTCATTGTTTAAAAGGGTTGCAGCAGTAGCAGCAACCGAGAATGAGTTCTCAGATGTCGATGCCGCCTTGAAGATGAACAACTCCAGTGAAGAGGTTCAAGTTCAACTCAAGAACTTGCAACCATGCATTCAAGATCTTGAGGAAGGAGTTGAGAGCCTCTTCAGGCGTTTGATCAAAACAAGAGCCTCCATTCTCAATATCCAAAATCTGTAGTTACATCGTGGAAACAATACCTGTACAAGTTGTATAGAAAATTTTGATACTCAAATACATAAATATACATGGTCTCCAACTTCCTAGCAAATTTTGTCTCTGTCATTGTTCTGTCTTACCACCTTGATCTTTCTTACTGTCCATTTTGATTACATTTTCCATACAAGAGAAACATGACAGTGAAAACAGCTCCTGGGATAATTTAAGATAGGTAAGGTAAAACTAAGAGCTGGTGAAGAACATTAGGCAGAAGCTATCATCACATGGAAAGCTGACACAACCAGATTAATCTCTGCAGATAATGGAACCACGTTGAGAACCCAAATTAAGTGGATCTTGCCTTCCATTTGTACAGCAATCATGTTAATGCATGCTGCTCAATATGATTCTCTTTCGAAATAGATATTTTATCAGACTTTTTTAGATACACTTAGATTTGGTTTCGGAGAAATCCGACTGACTAATTGCAATCTATGATCTAACTCGTAGTTAGGAGAGTGTAGGTTTAAGAAAACTAACCTGGAAAAAATTACTCAAAAGGGCCCAATCCCGTGATCAGTCAGCATTTTATTTTGGGCTTCATATTAAGGGAGAAGGAATGCCCAACATGTCTCCTCCATGGGCTTTTCTCCATACTCCCGCCAACGGCCCAACCTCCTTCTCCAGATGGAAAAGGAAAACCCCGCGCCGGGAAACTAACCAGAAAAAAGCGAAGCTAAACCTCACTCTCCGGCAGGCGGCAGCAATGACCGCTCCGGTCAGAACTCTTTCAAACCATGTTCTCAGTTCTTCACATTCTTCTGACCTCCGGCCACTGATCAACGCCATCACATCCTGCATCAAAGCCATGAATCCCAGAAACCTCAACTACAATACAACCAATCCGGCCCCTCTGAACCAATTCTCACCGTACATCCACGACGGCTTGGTCCTCCAAGTAATCAAGTCCAAGCAACTGCAATCGAACCCTTACCACGCCCTCCTCTTCTTCAACTGGGCCTCGAACCCTCGCCCGAACCCTAACCACTACGCCCACAGCCACAGATGCTACGCCGCCATCGTCGACCTTCTCCTCTCCCACTCCCTCTTCGCCGCCGCTTCCTCCCTCCTCGAAGCCTCCAACAGGGTCTCCGATCTCACGCTCAGCAAGTTCATCTCGGCGAATGGCCGTCTGGGCAACGTGAAAGCCGCCGTCTTTTGGTTCCACAGGGCGAGAACCACGGTTGGGGTGAATGGGGATTGTTTGTTCTCGTGCAACGCCATTTTGGGTGCTCTGGTGAGGAACAACCGGATCGATTTGGCTCGATCGATTTTCGATCAGATTGTGCAGGATGGTAGAGTGAACCCTGATGTCTCGACTTACACCACGATGATCACGGGGTATTGCAAGTTGGGCATGGTCGAGGAAGCACGGAAGGTGTTCGATGAAATGCCTTGCCAGCCGAACAAAGTAACGTATAACGCCCTGGTTAATGGTTATTGCAAGGCGGGAGATATGGACTCGGCGAAGTTGATTTTCTCGAGAATGATTGGTGGGGGATCCGGTTGTTCCCCTGATACGATAACTTACTCTATTCTGATCGATGGTTATTGTAAGAGAGGCGAGTTTGATGAGTCGGAGAGATGGCTGAATGAGATGGTGAATCGCGGTTGCATTCCCAACCTTTTGACCTACAATGCGATAGTCTACAGCTTGTGCTTGAGAGGGTTAGTTGATGAAGCCAAGAAGTACCTCACAAAGATGAGGCTGAATGGAGTGAGAGAAAATCTCCTTACTCACATGAGCATCTTGAAGGGCCTTTCTGTTGCAGGGAAGTCCGGTGAAGTAGTGAGATATTTCAGAGAGGGGCTCCGAGAAGGGAAGATAAAAAATCCCGGCTCGAAAGTCTATGCAATCTTAGTGAGGGAGTACTGCAAGATGAGGAAACCAGACGAAGCGATCTCTGTATTAAAGGAAATGTGTAATAAGAGGATCAAGCCGAATGTTTCGTGCTTCAACTCAGTGTTCAGGGCTCTGTTGGAGGTCGAGAAGCCAGACGCAGCTGCCTTGCTGATGAAGCAGATGAAGAAAATGGGGTGCAAGCCAAATTTCATATCGTACAGCACAGTCGTATCAGGCCTTTGTACAGCTGCCGATAGCCATCGGATGAGAGAGGTGGAGGAGATTGTGAACGATATGATCAAGGATGGTATCTCGATGGATGCAGGGTTGTACAGTATCTTGGTTTTGGGGTATTGCAGAGAATGCAATGTCGAAATGGCGAGGAAGTTTCTCGGCGAAGCGATTAGTAACAGCTATGTAGTGAGCTTGGAGGCTTTTACAGCTTTCCTGGAATGCGTGATGGGTGAGAAGGGGGAAGTGAGTGACGGTGAGAAGCTGTTAGCAGAGATGTGTAAGAGATGTGCTGTCCTCGATCCAGCTAGCTATATGCAAGCTCTGAATCGATTTGTTCTCCGGTAGAGCCAGCATAAGAAGAAGAAGAAGAAACTATGTAGAAGAAGAAAACAAACAACTCTGGTTCTAAAATGAATGGTTGGATTTCAATAATCATGATTAGTAAACAATTCATGGTAAGCATTTAACTATATCTCGCTGCAAACATATATAAGCGATCTGTACAGAGAAAGCAATCTAACTATCAACTTGCGTTTGTTAAGGCAAGTGAAGCTTTTCCATCAACGAAGCTTCTCACAGTCAGAAATTCATTCCGATCGCCTTTCGAAGAGCTTCCCATTGCTCTTCCTCGCATAGGGCTGGACCGCAATGATCAGCATCAGAAGAAAAAGAAGCACTACGTTCTATCCATTGCCGTAGCTGGTTGATCTGGGGATCAAAATCCGGAGGAGAAGCCGCGAAAGCAGCAGATCCAACACTAGAAGCAGGGGAAGCTGCCGGAGCACCACCACCCCCGACTGGCGACAGCCACCGTTGTTCTTGTTGCTTCGACGAATTCGATTCGCCACCACCTGCTGCTATTATTTCCTTCAACTCTCCCTTCACTTCATCATCATCATCCTCCTCGTCGATTTCGAGATAGTACACTTTGTTCTTCCCCTGCGCGGCCTTCCGCTTCTTCTCGTTCTTCCGGATCCTGCATAGCGCGTAGCTGTCGAACAACGACTCGTCCAGCCCCAGCCACGGAGCCGGCTTATGGAGGCTGTACTCGTGCATAATCCACCCGTCCTGATTCTTCGCCGCGGCATTACCCCTGCCGCCGTCGCTCTTGTACTTGAACCTCTTGTTGATCCAGCAAATCTTGCGGTCGGAGGACCAAGAAACCTTGCCGGCGTCCTCCCCGTGCCAATACCCTCCACCCGTTCCCACTCTCCGGTCGTGTCTAGACCCGCCGATGCTTCTCTTCCTCAGAGGAGTGAAAACGTAGAGATCGCCCTCGTCGTCTTCGCACCAGAATCGGGACCGGGAGGAAGGGTGGACGCGGAATTTCTCACAAATTTCCCACGGCTCCTGGCCATAAACGTCGCATTCCTTCACGTATTCGTCGGAGGGGAGCGGCTTGCCTCGAAGCTTGCTCAGCAAGTAACCCAGCACCAATTCATCGTCGGTCGGATCGAATTTGAATCCGACGTCTCGCTGCCCACTCCGGCTGTTCTCCATCCTTCAAGAAATCAAGAATCAATCCCTCCGACGCCGGTCAAAAGAAAAAATGCCCTAAATCAGAAAGGGGACTGGAGCTATATTCCGAGAGAAGAGTAGAAGCGGTTGATTGTGCTGCAAGAATTGGGGGACAAGATAGCGCTGAGAATCCTTATTTATAATAGTTTAGGACTGCAGTACCGACTACCGACTTCCAGTTTATTTTTTCCCGCCCTTTTCTTTTCCTTCCTAGAGTAGGAATGTGGCTCTTGGGCTTGGGCTTTTTTTCTTGTCTCTTGACGGGCTGTGTTTCCGATTGTTGAGCCCAATGGGCTATGAGAAATTTGATGACCTTATGTCAAGCAAATATCCTGCTAGATGGAAATAAACCTAAAATGTCTACTAAAGATTAAACCTTTAGTTCTACTAAATTAAGGGATCCTATACTCAAGGTTGACCTTAAATACCATTCCATGGAAAGTTCAAATAGAAGAATAAACTACAATTCAACCATAATTAATAAGATATTTAGAACCACTTGTGACTAGAGAATTAGACGTTGATGTCAACAATTTACTTAGATAACTTGTGTGATTCCGAAAGATTCTGAGTACCCATAACAAATGTGAACTTACAACTATCAACATTTCTACCACAAAAGATTCCTATTGTCAATCCTTTTCCTTGCTTACCAAGGAAAGTTCCATTTGAAATTACTTGTCAAATGGTCAAGTGCCAGAATGATACAATAGCATCAGATGAACAAGAGAGATATACAAAGCAGATTTCAGCTGTAATTACAACATTGACAAACTGCCTCAGTTAACCTCTCCTCTCTACCCCATCAAAATGGGTGAGCCAAATTACAGACCAATCCATCCAATTAAGTATTCTATTCTACAAACCCTTTCTTTCTTTCCTTGCTTCCTTTCTCTTATAATCAATCAACAAATTCAATCCTCAGCTCACCATTTTACAACAACACACTTGAAGATGGATCTTTTCCCCCTTTTTATTGCTTACAAACAGATTTCCTATTCTTCTCATGAACCCTTTCCACCTACCCTCTGCTTCTTTTCTTCTAGCGATGCAGCTTCATTCAGCATGTCGGCTGCATCGGTGTGCATGTTCAACTTGGCCAGAGCAACGGACTGAATGTAGAATGCAGTGGGCCAATCTGGATAAACGCACTGCGCTTGCATTCCATCTCGAAGGGCAGCGTCCGGTTGATCGCACAGCAGATAGCAAAGACTACGTCTAGCGAAAACAGTGGGCGAAACAATAGTTCCTACATCTATGAACTGCAGCAGAAAGAATGGAAGTTAGGAGACTACCTAATTAGATAGCTATGCCGGTTGGGAGAGCTAGAGATGGTAAAACCTGGGAGTAACAATTGATGGCGGTTTTGAAATCTTTGTCCCGGAATGCAAAGTCACCTCTCTTTCTAGACTCCAGCATATCCCTCATTTGTTGTGTCCACTCTTGGAAAGATAGCTGAAACAAATTATGGTTAGAGTGATTGACAACAAGAATACACATATTGGTGACAAATGTGCAAGGTTGTAGATTTTCTTGTTTAAGCCAAGTACCTCGTTTGTTCCCTCGTCATCTTTGTAGTGTGTCATTACCAATATCTGGTGAATGGCTGTGAGGTCCATTCGTGAACAGGCTTCTCCCATCGGCGAGCGAGGACGCTGTGGGGTCGGAGGTGCATCCTCATGTTTGGGTATTCCAAGCATCACGTCTGATGGAGCCTGCAACATCAGGAAACATGAGCAGTTTCTAAACTTGAGCGGCATGGACAGAAACAGTAAAGGAACTGAATTGCTGCTTCAAGATCTATTCGCGAGTAAATTGAACAAGTAACACTCAAGTAATATCCAACTTGAAGCTGGAAAGAAAGACTAGAAGTATAATGAAGTCCAAATATAGGGACTTGAAGAAAGAAGTTTCAATCTCCAAAAGAAAACTTTAGAAAGAAGGTTGATCGGATCCAACATGAAGTAGAATGGGAACGGACATAATTTCATGGAAATCATGGGAAACTTTTTGAGATATTTAAACGTCTTATTGTGCTAGTGGTAGAGGCTGGAATAACCGTTCATTCAGAAAACAACGCTGCTAGTTAATAGGTTGCTTAACTTCCCACTTCCTAAGTGATATGCCTTGCATAAAAACTGATCATGACCTAGTAGTTTTCAAAGATGGGATTCAAGAGATACATTGTCTATGTCCCACATTGATTATAGATCCATGCATAAGATTATTAACTGCTCATTTCAGCGCCATAAAGCACAAACAAGAAACTTGATGGTTCAATTTTAAGTAAAAAAAGTCAAGAAGAATGAATTCACTTACATCAGGCTTTGGTTGCAGAGGAGAAAGTGTAGCAACAAGTTCCTTTGTGTTAGGCCTTTCCCTAGGTTCATACTGCAAGCACTGGGAGGCAAGACCAACAACAGTGGTAGCTTCTTCTGTAGAGAAGTTCCCTTCCAAATGAGAATCCATCAAGAGAATTATGTTTCTTCCTCTTATCATGTCAAGAGCCTGTATGCATGTACAATCATAAAACTCTTGAAGCGCAAAAAGTATGGAAGTGCCCAGTTACTCCTATATGAACTAGAAATTTGAATGCACCATTGCTTTCCTAAATTATGCTGCAAGAAATATTGCAGGAGTTCTTTCCTGATGAAACAAACTATAAATCAGAGCAGTCATATCGAGTAGCAAGTTCTAATTTGAGGTCATGTATAATGCAAAGTGCAACCTTGTGATGACATGGAAGAGAACATGCGCCATATCAAACTTCCAAACACACACTTCAATGTAAGCCACTTACATGACTGGGAGGAATGTGCTTTCCACTGAGTAAATCAAGGAGGACAGTGCCGTAACTGTAAGTAACACTTTCTGGAGTAACCCTTCCTGAAAATTTTAGGCAGTGAATGCAGATGATGATCTCAAAGTGAAGCACAGCAATACACATGGGCATTTTCTAAAACAATAGAATCGTTATTACCATTCTTTAGATATTCAGGAGGGGTGTACGCCAGATTTGTACTATAACTCTTCCCATCCCTACTATTTTTCATCAAGCCAAAACATGAAAGACGTGGATCTCCATCCTACAAAACCCATATCATGAAATGATAAAAATCAATCATCATACAAAGGAAAAGGAGGCTATAGGAATAGGGTGATGTTCAAGTTTCATCAAGAGAAATGAATACCTCGTCAAAGAGTACCCTATATGCATTCATATCATGGTACAAAGGACGACCCTCGGTGCTGCAATAGTCTAGTGCTTCAGCTATGTAGAGGGCAACCCTTAAGCGCATGGCCCATTCTATGGTTTGATTTTCCCCTGTGAAGAATGAATAGAAACCCAATATGAGACCCAGGTACGAATCCTTCATTCCTAAGAGCAAGTAAAGTGAAAGATTCAAGTTGATCCTTTCCAGATGTGCCTCTAATTCAACTAACTCACTCTCTCTAATCACAAAAGAACAGACGGTGTAAAAACGCTACACCTTTTTCCTCTTAGTGATCAACACAATTTCCCTACTCATCAGGCAATCACAGTGCTTAGCTAATCTTAGCTTAGTAATTTGAACACATCTTGGAAGCAGAAGGCAGACTGACCCTAGCGTTTCATTTGTACATTTTGAACCAAAAGCAATACAGCATCAACATTCCACACAAATTCCACAAAATGGAAGCTCATAAACTATATACATAGGAGTTATCAAGCATTGTGAAAGACATAATGGACAGAGATTAAAAAAACATCAATCAATCGCAATGAAATGAAATGAATGAAGAGAAGCAAGCAACACATACAATGGAACAAGTGCTTGGCAAGCGTATCATTCGGCATATACTCAGCAACAAGCAGCCTTTCATCCCCATCACAGCAATACCCTATCAAATTCGCCAGCCTCTTATGCCTCAACTTCCCAACTCCCCAAGCTTCCTCCTACAAACATAAAACAACCCCAGATAAATCAACTCATAACAAAAGATCACTCCATTCACTGTGACAAAATAGAGCACAATCATCTACTACATAAGAGTACCGCAAATTGCTTAGGATCGGGCCAAGCCATCTTGGTAAACTTCTTCACGGCGATCCACCGCCGGTTGGAGAGGCGGCCTTTGTAGACAAGATTGGGCGCCTTCTCCCCGCTCTCGGAGACTATGTTGTCGGAGCTGAAGTTGTTGGTGGCCGCTTTTAGGTCGGAGAAGGAGAATTCTGAGAAAGAAGGGACTCCTCCTCCTCCTCCCCCGCCGCCGACACCGGCGGCGGGAGAATCGATGACAGCCGACGGAGGAGGAGGGTGGAGGACTTGGGGCTTGTTAAGATGGTCCTTTTCTGGGTGGGTTTCTGATAGAAAGGAGGAAGCACAGCAGCCCATGATGAAGTCCTCTGAGACTGAGAGTATATTCTCCTTTTCCTCTTCTTTTTTCGAGCTGCTTCTTTTTCCGATGTTGGCGATGAAGTTGGAAGCTTTGGCGAAGTTGGGAAAGAGGGGTTGCGAGAGAAGTGGAGAAAAGATTTGGGAAAGTGAAGAAGAAGAGGAAGAAGGTGAAAGGGGGAATGGGGGGAAAATGGCTTTCTTTCTACAGTTTCTCTTCTTATTTTTGTGTTTTGTGACATGCCTCTCTGTTTTGTTCCTTCAGACCATTCAGCTGTTTTTTTCCTTTTCCCCCCTTCTTTCACTGTCCTTTTTTTCCTCTGTTTTTTACAAGTATAGTGATTCAATTGCACTGATTAAATGGCACATCAAATATAATATCTTTGGCAAAAAACAAAAACAAAAAATGGCACATCAAATATCAAGAGGAATTTTAAAAAATAAATATCAAGAGGAAAATAATAATTTCATATAAAAATGGTTGTCTAGTATACTATCGATTTCGGATGCATGTTGTATATTCAATCAGTTTGAGTAATTTAGCTCGTTTCAAATTGATTTCAATACAACTTCATGGATTCATTAGTGATCATGGTAAAGACAAATTTATAAGTAAAAATCGAATTAATTCATTGTAATTGTGTGACTAAAATTTCAAATTTGATGATTATAGTCTAATTTTAGGACAGACAATATACATAAAATCAAGGATGTACCTATAAAAAAAATTCACACTTTAATAGTTGTTGTCTTTGTAATGCGAACATCATTTGCACAAGTTCCTCATTATAAACTATTGTTTAATCTTCATCCATGATGAATCACATAAAAGTAAAACTATGGCATCTTAATGAAGAATATAACTCTCTACTAAATTATTTATTTATAGTTGTCTCGTAATAACCACTAAGTTAGTACTTTTAAAATTTTAGAACAAAAAATCTATGTTCCCTCTATATTGATGGAAAATACAAGGTTGAAGGAGAGATGATGATAGATTCTTTTACCATTCGACATTGGCAGAAGCATGTAAAATATGGTTTCTTTTTTCCCCACATAATGAAAGATATCAAAAGTTATTTGAAGGTAAAGAACAAAACCACTAAACCCCAATAACCATAACATTCTAAGAATTATTGACACTTTTGTTTGTTTTTGAAATTAGAATTCTAGTGTGTTTTCCTGCCTAGACAAAACTGGAACTTGGAATTCTTTGAAACTAGCTTTTGCAAAAGTCAAATACCACTTATGCTCTCATTTAGGAAATTAGGAAATTTCAAGTGTAGGTTCTGAGAAAGTGAGAATCAGTTAAGTAGTTTTAGAACCAACCATTATTTTCAATCCTTTGTATCTAAAGTGTTGAATTTTAAGGGAAAAGGGTATCGTTTCTTTTCAGAGATCTTTAGCAAATGTTTTTACCGAAATGTTAATTGTCGTTGAAGAGAACACCTGATTTTATTGAATGACGTTTTGCATCTCTTACATCTCGAAGAGATAATTGTTTTTAAGTTTGGTGAAAGATGAGTATTAATATCGTCTCTTTTCATTATGGACGAGCAAGGGAGTCACCATGAAATTCGAATTTGCAATTAGCACTGTTTGCACGCTACTTTGACTCGCAATTCATGAAAACAATGTTACTATCAACAAAATCAAACACTCCACCCATATTTTCTCTTTGGATCATGTTGTATTCAGAAATCAATAAAATAAACAGAGTATTTTTTTTCAATTCTCTCTCCTCTCTTCTTCTTCTTCTTCTTCTTCTCCTACTCTCTCTGAATCCCTTATTCCCCATTCTTGTTCTTCCTCAAATTCTCCCCCCAATTCTTCATATCAATCCCTATATCTTTCAATTCTGCTTCTCATATCCTCATCACATTCACTTAGAAACTCAAGTTTCTATCAACAAACACCCTGAAAAGCATACCACACCATTCACCTAAAATTGACAAGTTACCATCCACAATTTCAACATCATCAACCCACCTCTCTTACTCACAAAAGGCATTTCATTATGAGCATCACTTTTTACAGTCATTTCCCCAAAGGTCCAAACAAGGCTTGGGAGAGAGACAGAGATGAGAGGGGAAGATGCATGCAAAGATCCTCTGGCCTACCAAGACCTCTCACAAACCAAATACAAAAAAAATAGAAAGCTGTTGTTTTCATTTCAGCTGTGTTTGTTGTGCATCTTCTTTTCAGCTGTCACAAAAAAGGCATAAAAAATGGTCCTGGAAAACTCGATTCATTTCACACCATCATAACCCTCCTAATACTGAAAAAGCTAAACCACCTTCAACTTCCCACAATTATTGCTAACAGATAATCATTAAAAAAAAAAAAAAAAAAAGAGTTTAGCCCTATCTTTGCCCATCTCCAATCAGTGCTGTGAGCTGTTGTTGTATCCCAAAGCCAGAAGATCTTTTGTCATCATAGTTGCAATCACTCAAAGCAAAACTCTTCCAAGCTAATAATAGTATATTAGAGTACATGATTAGTAGAAAACAAACTGTGTCCTAATCAAAACCCACACCAGCTAATCATTCCCAGAGTACAGCAAATACATGTATGAATGATATGTTAAATCATCTAATTCTCTGCTTCAATTGCCATTCCAACAAGATTACAATGGTACATTCCCCTTCCTAGTCTCCCTAGTTCAGTGGTAATACAGGGATTCAAATTATACGAAGAACACGAGACGATGGATGTTAAGAACCCTCTAACTAGAGCCTCATACAGAGACTCTCTGCTATGATAAGAGCTATCAGGGAGAAGAAAAGAGAACTATACAGAATTTAATGTAATAAATATTCCGAAGAAGTACCAGAAGAAAAACAAAGTTAAGTTATTTACCATATATATATCTGATCTGTGGGCATTTTCCAAGACTTGCGCCATTCTGGGGCAGCCCACTGAACCTATAACTCAACCAGATATCCTCGGTTCAAAATTGAATCTAATTCTGCACTTCCACAGGTTTACATCTTAGGCATTGTATTTTCCCCCCGAGAGCGAACCTTGTGTATGACCTTCCCAGCTGTGTAAATGCTCGATGCGATGCATCGACAGCGCTACAGGAGCTATATGGTCTATGCCAATTCTGATCCGGCAGAAAAAGGAATTGGCACTTACAGAGCATGTCCGATAGCCCGGCTCAGTTTTCCAATCAGCCTGAGCTTCAAACCCCCATTAAACCTAGGTGGCCCACATGGAACAACTGCCACCGTCCCATGATCATCTTTCACAGAGGAGTTTCAGCAGCAGAAGGGGCAAGGCATATTTCACCACAAACTTGCATGACAAGGTGGCGAAGCCTTCTGCTTTAAGCAAAGTTTGCAGAAAGCTGTCTGTGGTTGAACCATGTGATGATTAAGAAGCTGTTCCATGTTCTCCAGCTCTGCTTTCTTCTTCACTGCGTTGCACAAGGTCCTCATAAGCTTTCACGGACTCCGCTGTAAACTTCTCCATGGCCTCGAAAATCCTCTGCAGGCTACCTTGCAGACTGCCATTGCTAGTATCACTCTGATACACAACATTTCCAGTAACAGACAAGCCATCACCTCCATCGCCAGAAACCAAAACAATTTTTTTGTCCAGTGCTTGGATCTCCTTCTGTATCTTCTGGTCCTCTCTGTCCAAGTTCCTAACTTTCCTCTCCAAATCCTTGTTTGTCATCATTCTGCTTCGCATCTCTTCCTTATCGTGTTCCCACAGTTTAAACACCGTCGATGCAAAGAGGCGCATAGAATCCACCACTTCCTTCTCAGATATTCTATCAATAGCTTGTGCCCACTGATTACAGATCACAAACACGGGAGGTGCACCCATTCTTCCAGGTGAGAAAGGGGCCACGCCATCAGGCGTTTCTTCTGGTTCATAGAGGAGGCATTTTACAAGCCAATTATTTAGGGCTTTTACATAACCCTTCTGAGCTCCAACCCAACTGGTGAAACCAGAAGTCCAATTAAGCAGTTGATGCTCAAGTTGCAATGTAGCTTGGAGATGATCATCACTGAGCTTCTTCGCGGATCCAATAGGACCAAATCCTTTGGCTTCCTTTATTGCTTGGCACTGGATTTCGTGGCACTGAAGCATGTTTTTCCACATTCTACTCAACCTGCAGATGCAAATGGCAGTTAGGAACGCATGAATTGAATACTTACTAAGGACAACTTGTTTCTAGAAACCAAGTATATAATGAGGAAAGTGATGCATTAAAACCGAGGATTGCTCGGACTCATTGCTAGGTCCGCGTTGTAAGCCTACAAACTACCAACCTAACTAGTTAGGTAGCAAGATGGCAAGGTATTAACAGGCTGAATACAAACATATAGCAATTGTAATGTATACATTCATCACGCAAACGAAGAAGGGATGAAGCTATCAAATCTTCTGGGGAAGTATACACTGAAGAGTTCAGATTGAACCCCACAAGTCATGCAAGAAACATACAAAAAGAGGACCTGAGAACGTTAATATACCCGAGAATCAAATCATTCAGTTGCGGCCAAAGCTCTTCATCTCTAATCTTGTTTATTGTGACAGAGATCTTGTCCACAACCTGAATCGCGATTCTTATTTTGGTCGACAGACTCCTTATCAAAGTTCGTGTAGCATCTATTTTGTGAGCTTCCGCGCCCCTCTCATCCAGACGTTTCAGCTTCCGGCATTTCCTGTCATGAACTACCCGCATTTTCTCCTCTGCCTGAAAAAGAAGAGAAGAAAATGAGCTGGCACAGCTTAAAGAGATCAACTTGCAGGACATGTGTATGAGGGATAAAAATGAATCTGACAGATTGTCGGAATAGAACAATTCTGTGCCAACCAAGCTAATGAAATAAAGAATAAGCAAACATACTTTCACTTCAGTATATAGCTTCTTCTCCCAAAGATACAGTTTTTGCAAGGTAGAGGAAAGATTCTTTGATCTGACAGCCAGATCTTCATCCATCTCCAGGAAAGATGGAAGAGCATTATCATTGGAGGATGAAGCCTCCAAGCTATTGGAAGCAGGTGGCTGTGAAGCTATCAACGATAATGATGATGGAGTCACACCATGCAACTTCTTTGAAACTGCGCACAAAAAGTAACCAACTTCCAGTCAAAAACAGACTGCTAAACTTATTCAATAGCACAAAAGACACTCCACACATATGGCAGAAAGTTCAACCGAAAGAATTAGAGACAGTAAGTAAACTCGATAAGTATGATTAGGCGTGGTACCATGTTTACGCTGGTAAGGGAGCTTCCCCACTTCGAGCATCTTAGCCATTTCATTCCCATACTCAGAAGCCCTCTCGAACTGAATCTTGATCTCAATAGCGACTTGAGACACATCCCGCCACCCTCCTCGACCCTTTGACCCGGCGCCATTGCCATGCTCATCAGGCTTCTCCTTACCAACAACCTTCTTTTCCACTACGTGCACCTCATACTCAGGTCCATCAGTCTCCATTGACACACCACTAGCCCTGGTTTGGTAGAGCGATGCCTCTGCTTCACCACCACCACCACCACCACTGGTACTGGGCTTAGCTTCCATCTCATCATCATCAATCATCGCTGATTTCGTATAATTACTATGACCAACATCACCACTACTGCCACTACTTTCAGCTGCATATTTAGGGTCTCCGTGTACTTCTTTAACAACTTCGTGTTGATAATCCTCGTCCTCCAAATCAGGAATCCCTTCTTCCTCCCTCACTTCTCTGGAATCTCTGCTGGGAGTGTAAGATGGATAGAACGTCTCACCACTCTCAAACGGATTCAAGAAATCCCAAGCTGATGCTCTGGGTGGTGATGGCGGAGCTGGCGGCGGCTTCGACGAGGAAGCCCCCTGTATCTGGGGAGGCGGAGATGAAGATCCATAAGCAGGCGGAGCGCCGTAGTAGCCAGCCGCTCCACTGCTACTGCCGCCGCCGCCGGTATAATTAGGGTACCCGAAATACGAATAAGCGCTCGAATTGTCAACAGGGTAAGGAGGATTGTTATTAGCCTGCGAATAATAAGACGAAGACGAAGAAGATTCACCGAAACGAACGGTCTCCGCAGCCGCCGGCCTCTGCTGATAAACCACCGACGCTGTCCCCTTTTTCTTCATATAATTCATTTGGAAAAACCCGCCCCCGCCGCCCGGATACCCGCCGCCAGTAGCCGGATATCCACCGCCGCCGCCCGGATACCCACCCCCGCCGCCGGGATACACACCGCCACTACCCGGATATCCGGCGCCGCCACCCGGGTACCCGACTCCACCTCCCGGGTAACCGACTCCACCACCGGGATACCCGCCGCCGGGAAAAGAGCTTTGATCCACAGACATAGGCATATACTCAGAACCCATATACTCCACATGCTTCCCACCACCGCCGGCGGCGGCGGCGGCGTGACTGTGCAAGGGAGACGAGTGATCAGAGAGATGAAGATGCGAATCCGAATCATCATCACCGTCCGAATCCTCCTCGTCCGAATCAGGTATAAAATGAAGATGCGAGCCAGAGTGAGAGTGAGAGTGAGAATGAGAATGACCATGCCCCCGGCCACCACTAACTTTCTTGGGCGAATTCCCACCATCCTCCACACTCACCCCTTTCCCCTTCGCCGGCAAATTGAGTTTCGGAGACCCCAACCCACCACCATCGCCAGCACCGAAATCCTGCTCCATGAAATGATGCAAGGAGTCCGCGACTCCCCGGAGCGAGTACACGTACCCGATATGAGCCTCCGCCAACAGAAACCGCTGGGTGATGGCTTCGTTGAGGAAGGTACACCGCTCGCGGCAAAGCGCCACCGCCGGGAGATCGTCCAGCTTGGAGCTGGCGCACCCCATCGGAGAAACACCCAGAAAAAAAAATCCCGAATTGGAATTAAAGGGGGGAAATTGGGGGTTGGGTTTTAGTTTATTATTTAGGTTTAAGTGAGAATGAAGGAAGGTAGAGAGAGAGAGGGGATTAAAAATAGTGGGTTAGGTGAGAGAGAGGGGGAGGAACTGAAGAAGAACGGGAAGAAAGAAGAAGCATGATTTGATTGTGATTGAGCTGGATTGAAGGAAGGAGAAGCAGGAGGAGGAAGAGGGAGAGTGTTTGTTTCTCGGGAAAATTTAATCTGAGATTTAATTTTCTTTCTAGGGTTGGGGGAGGAATCTTTTGCCAGCGCGGAGAGGTGTGTCGTTTGTCTGGAGAGGGAGAAAAAGGGAGGGAAAAGGGAAACGGAAGGAAACAACAAAAATACACCGCAGAGAGAGAGAGAGGGGAAGGAAGTGTTCTTTCTTCTCTAGTTCTGGACAAATTTCATCGTCGGTGTTATTTCTTCCTTTTTCTCCTTTAAATTTTTGGGCTATTATGTCTTTTTTTTTTGTGCCTTTTCCTTTGTTTCTTTTCTCCCTTTTGAGTTTCACCTAGATTTGGTTTTGAGTGGTTTGGGTGGTCATGGATTGTATTGATTTTTTCTGGTTTATTTTGTTATTGATATTATAGTTTTTGGATTTCGTATCGTATCATAGGATAATTCGACAACACGAATTATGCAATATAATTGTGTTCTCTGTACTATTGAAGAGCTCATCCAACTATGTGAGAAGATCTATATCACGGTTCATGCAAATGAAGCACTGCATTCTCGCATTACATGAGTTCTTACAAACTCGTTCTCGAAATATGCAACACCATCATCTTCAAACTCATATATATATTATTCTAACTCTGCAATAGTTGCCCTGCTAAATGACTTCCAACATATGAGGATAAAAGGTCGAGATGGTTGGATATGTTCAAATCAGAACAGAAGCGTATCGTCAGAAAAATACGATTACAGAGAACAGAGGACATAGAAAAAATAGTGACACAATAATAATTATAACGCTTTTATTTCACGCTCTATTTGAAAATATAAAAAATTCCAAGCGACAATCAAATTTGAACATTCAATAGAGTTCGTTATCGTAACAGGTCAAGTCAAAAATCGTCATCTCGAAAATTTGTATTAGAGAAAGAAGAAGATACTAGTTTTAGTTCGGGAAAAGGAAATGAAAAAAAAAAGGTAAAAGAAGGGTAGGGGTGGGCATTGGGTGGGTCGGGTGGATTTTGACCATAAAATGCACCCACCCGCGCTTAAACGGATTGATAATTTTTAACCCACCACCCACCCACATTCAGTCTCGGGTTGGGTCGGGCGGATGGTGGATGATGCGGGTGGGTTTGTGGGTTCACCCACATCACAATTTATATAATATAAAGGAGTCAACTTGACATGATAATAGGTGAAGAGAATCATCGAGGGAAACCAGAAGTTGAAATAGGGCGAAAAATGTCGAATTAGTTCTTAAATTGGATAGAAATTCTATTATGAAAGAGTTTTCTACAGATTGAGACGATTATTAGGTGCAAGGAACTAAGGAAAATAATTCCACAAAGGAAAGAGCGTTGATCTAGGCACAAGAATTAGAGGAAAAAGTAAAGGGAAGAAGAGGGGATCTCTATTTGGAAGGTTGGCTTTGAGGTTCAAACTCCAGGACCAGTCCGAGTTTATATCTAACGTCTCCACTCTCCTCTCTCTAGCGCCAACGACTTTGATTTTTTTGCTGTTGGGTTGAGCGGGTCACCCGCACACTCACCCACAACCCACCCACCACTCGGCGGATGGCTCCCAGCGCAACCCGTCACCCACCCACAGACCCACCCACTTAACGAAATTCGGGTCAAATGCGGGTGGGTCGGCCCAAACCCGCGGATGATCCGCCCGCATGCCCAGCCCTAAAGAAGGGGGTGGAAGTTCGAAGCGGTTAGTTTTTCTTCCGTTTAAGGTTTAACTGACTCAAGTGGTTAGTTAAAGTTTGGAAGGATGAGGAAAAGCGTGAAGAGAGAGAGACGGAGAATCGGGAAGTGGGAGACGGAGACTTTGACGGCCGTTGGGATGCATGACGTCAAATGGTCAGCCTTATCTCTTGTTATATTTACGGAAATGCCCTCCTCCGCCCTCTCTCTCTTCCGCCCGTCTTTCCTTCTCCGGCGTCTCTTTTTGAAGCTTTGACCTTTCCTTTTCCAGAATGCGGAAGCGGAGGAAGAGGAGCGTCAAAGCCAAACCCTTGAAATACGGTCAAACGGCGGCGACCTGAAAGCAACGGTGGGAGAAAAAGAACGGCTAGAGAGGAGAAGAGTAGACGGCAGAAACTTATTACGGGGGAAATTGCGAGGAATGTAACGGTGAGATTAGTAATATTGGTTAATTATGATAGTGGAATTAATTAATACGGCTTCATTGCTAGCTCCTGAAATTTATTCCTCCTTTAATTTCCCTCATAAAGTTGAGGAATCTCACATTAATGATTTTGGTTTTTTTGGCTAGAAACGTTTGATTGATGGGCTACCAAGAAGGGATGGTTCAGATTAGGGACGATATATCCGATGTTATGTTCGATTATGTGTAGAGTTTAAGGATTAGGTAGTTGGTTAATGGAACGAATTTTTTTTATTTTTACGATCTCGAATTTTCATGGCAGCCAACTTTAGAATTCATTACGATTCGAACAATTTTGCGTGGTTTTGTAGTGCATATATGTGATGTTGATCAACAGATTAACAAGATGAATCCTCATGTGGGTCGTCGTAATAGGATATGGGGTCTACGAATGATTGTCTGTCTACAGAGAGAATAAGTTGTGTACGATCTTCATAATCCTTCTGAACACAGAGCCACGTGAATGACACCAGCTCAATGGACTATATGCAATATGCTAATATCCTATTATTACTGCCGCCCAACAACAAAACTTGATTGATTTCCCGTTACAGAACGATCAGCGATCTCCTCTGTTTGATCAACGAATCAGTCTGTATTCGAAAACTGTTTTGACACTTCATCGCTTGATCTCGAGAGGAGAGGATTGGTACAAGTTAGTCTAAAATGCCAAGCCAATGTCACAATCAAAGAGATATTTGCTATTGTGGTGTGATAATTTGATCAAACCATTATAGAAAATATGAAGGAAAAGATTAATAATAAAAGGGAGTAAAGAGAGAGACGTGATAAAATTGGGGACCTCCTTCTTCTTCTTCAATAGTTGCCCCGTTACATCATTCTTGATACATGATTTTGGCGCCATTTCCCCCCCTTATCTCGTACTCTCTTCTCCACAACCCAACAAACCGCCTTCCATTTTTGTTCATCACCCATCCAAGCTCCTTCCATCAAGCTTTCACTAGAATGTCAATTCGTCTTCTAAATCCTTAATCCCTTTCGCTCGAACTACAACAACCCACTCGAATTTCTTGTTTTTATGTCCGAAATGGAGTAGGGAAGTGATATAAGCATCTACGTTGGAGATATACGGCTTTGTGTAGATCAATATTTGTCGACATTTTCAACTATTACAATATCTGTTCGGATAACTAATTGAAACACATTATATGAAAAGTTTGCACAAAGTTAAATCTCACTAGACATATCCTTAAAGGAAAGAAGCACTACATATAGAAGATCGGTAGGAGCTTGGAGTTCATCAGCGGGGAACCAAAAGTCTGAATGAGGGAATTTAAATTGTAGTAGTCGGGGAGGGGGCTAAGACATCATCGACGAATATATTTGCTAAATTTGTTACGAATTTTACATGTAATTTTATTTATATTTCAAATTTTAGGAGGCAATAGCCCCTCCGACTTCTACCTAGCTTCGCCACTGCTTTCCACCTTTTTTTAATCATGCCTTGTGGGGTGAAATCCGTCAAATACGATAAACATTGACTCTAATAAACACTCGAAATAATAAAAAGTGATTTAAATGGTTGCGATCAACAATCTTGCCAGCGATCACCACAATATAATTCAAAAATGGTGGCCGATAAAATTACTCGAAAAAAAGAACGAAAATCAAACAGCATGAATCGATTTTTCCCTCTATATTCAAGGGTTTTGAATATTCTCCACCTCCTAGAGATCGCACACGCTTGGAAGTGTGAAGATGACCATTTCATATGGTAGAGATTAGGCTAATTATTGTACGATTAAGTCATCCTTTAGAAAAGTAGATGGTTGGTTATTAAAAAACACTTGACCAACTAATGAATTTGATACATATACAAGTCTACAATTAGGACCTCTGACCAAATTAGGTAAAGATTATGAAATTTTAAAGCATTAAAGCCATACCACCACGAGCGACGCCTTTTTTTCTCTAATGACCTGTGAAGGAATATATATGAATATCTTCAAGTGATCTACGCTGACTCTTATGAATGTTTGGTCCATGTCCATGAGCGATGGGTTTAGACGGCTATAATTTTAGTGAGATATTTCTATTTTGACTATGAATTAAAACGAGTTTGAGATATAATATTATACCATAATATCTAATCGATACCTCAGGCCCCAACTCAAACCAGAATATCAATTTAATAAAAATAATAATCGATGATTCTTATTTTTCGAAACTCAACAAAGTACATCTAACACTCAAATTGATACACCAATCTTTGGACAAATTTATTTATTTTTCTCTTTTGGCATGGGTTGCATTAATTATGTCGCCATTCTAGCTAGGGTTGCATTTTGAGAAGGGAAGAGAAGAAGAGTGAAGAAACAAAATTGCCAACTTTGGGATGTTCCTTGCATGACATTCTTTGGCCCTTCCTTTTTAACTTTTCATGACTTCAATCTATAAGTGACAAAATGGATCTTCACGAAATTTATTACAAGATTCATTGGGAGTTGACCAAAAGCAATAAGAAACATATGTTTTGATCATATATATTTTGTTCATATGTACAAAAAAAGACCAGATCTTTCATAAAATACGATAAGATTATATGTATCTGACTATTTGCGCAATGCTGAAGCTAACTATAGATTAGTGTTCCTCCCGAATTTGGGATCGTGAGCACTACGAGTGAGTTGAGCCAGTCCATGTTGCATAAACTTAGTCTTTTATAAAGATCGATGAAAGGTATTTGAGGAGGACGAAAGCGATAGAGGATACCAAAGACTGAATCATTGATCACTTGGTTGAGTGTAATGACTCACAACCACACATACACAATGGAAACTTGGCAGGAGGATGAATATAGTCAAGATCAATGCTAATATAATTGGTTTCACAAAGTTCAATACTAACATGATTGCTGGATTATGTTATTGTAGAATTACCCTAGGGAAATTGAC